CTTCTTCAAGGATTCTAGATTCTGATCCCATTTGAGGTATTGACTCACTTTTCAACCCCTTGGCATGACCTTCTTGCACCTCAATAATCCAAGCTGGAAAATTAGGTAAAATAAAAACATGATTTCATGAAGAGACAGATGCTTCATTTGACCTGTGCTTTCTTAAGTAAACACATTACAGAGTTTTGTGACACATTTTAGGAGCTTGCTGTGTCCCCTTGTCCATTGGTCACTCTGGGGTCAAGAGCCTGAAATTCTGTTTAACTTGCAGACCAAAGTTTAGAAAAACAACCAATTTCCTTCCTGAGGTTAATGTTATAAGTCAGCCCTGGTTGTACAGTAATACCTGAGTTGAATAAGAAGCTGAACTAACATTTTCCTTTAAAGTAGCATGTCTTTACCCAGGTGAACATTGTCTCAGGTTTTCTAACAGCAGATTCACTTGTGAATTTAGGAAGCAAGGTGGTTTAAAAATCTATATTTTGAACATTAGAGATGAAATTTATTTAATACAATCACATGCACTTGCCAATTTTAAAAGATGGTTATCATACTAGAAAAAGTATCATGTGACTAATTGTTTGCTATCTGAACTAACAGTATAAATCAAACTCTTACCCCATAGTCTTTGCTTTGACATAATCTACCATGAAATGCATTTCCTTAGCCTAATTGAAATAAACTCCTTCTTGATGGGTGATGAGCACTTAATAGCATGACTTTTGTATTTATGATGTGCATTAGTGTCTATTAAGAATAGATCAGTATTTTCTCCAAAAGCACTTACAAATTACACCTTGATTTTAAACAGCAAGATACAGTTCTGGTGGCTGCCTCACTTGAGCAAATACAGGATCAGACAGTTACATGATTCTCTAAATTTTACTCTGACCTCTCTAATACTTTTTCTTCCTTATTTAGTGTATAAATGCAAATACCATTAACAAGTGCACCCACTACACAAGTGTATTTGGTCCTTAATTGCCTCAGGATTTTAGGTGAGAAGTTTGCAATTACATCAATTGAGAATAAGAGATTCACTAATAAAAATAGTAATGTAAACAAGATTGCTTAACTTAGTTCAAGCAAACGAACTTCAATCATTTGCAATCTACTAATTATAAATGTTTGCAAATACAAATACTAATTTTTCCATAAATCAAGACTCCAGAACCTCTACTCGAAACCCAGATAGTGAATTGTGGCCCTAAAGCCACTAGGCGTTTTCACTTCCTGTTTTACTGAGGGAACTTGGTTAAACTTTCTCTAATATCTTCTTTTACCCTCCAAAATTGCTTTGAGACCTCTTTATCTTTCTTTTCCAATACTTTGACTTGAGAAAGATGTATCTCTCTCTCTTTCCCAGGGTAACAATGGTTTTTCTGTGACTTTCTGGAATCCACCCCCCTGCCTCCTCCAAGACTTTACCCCTCAAATAACTTCGCTCTGTTCTAAAAACTCATCATAAAATACATATTTGATGAAAACAACAATGAATCACTTTAAGAGTTGTAAACAATTTCTCCAACATTTTCTTACATTGGCTGTTTTACTCTCTGGGGCACATGGATGACTATCAGCCATGCTAAGCCCGCTGGAGGCAGCTCTTCGGAGAAATGCTTAATCTCCCATCCACATCTGTAATTTAAAAAATCTCTGTGAGTGATTTATGAGCAAACTCTCACTGGAAAAGGCAATGTCCTAGGCAGTCAATGACATCATGATATATTCTGATTCCCCTTCACATCATGTACTTGAAATATATTGTTTTCAGCTGGGACATTGCTTTTTAAATTTCCTAGATTCTGGATTTTTCTCTTTGAGTCAGCTTTTAGTATTCTTGTGTGTTGTCTTTACTGAGAATGTCCTTTTAAAATAGGTAATGCTGCCCTGGCAGGTTTTGTTCAGTGGTTAGACTAGAGCATCAGCCCACGACTGAAGGGTCTGGGTTTATTCTGGTAAAGGGTACGTACCTCAGGTGCAGGCTCAATCCTGGTAGGAATGTGTGCAGGAGGCAGCTGATCAATGTGTCTCTCTCACATCGATGTTTCTCTCTCTCTCTCTCTGTCTATCCCCCTCCCTTTCACTCTGTCTGAAAAAAAATATCTATGGAAAAAATATCCTCAGCTGAGGATTAACAACAACAAAATTTAAAATAGCTTATGCTTTTATGTGTACCTTGCCATTTTAGGGCTCAAAGGTATTGGCAAATACCATGCCTGGCATTGGATGTCTTAGCATAATGATTGGAGGGTCCCATTTGCAAATCGCCACTTTTCCTGCTCACAGCCTTTGCTATGTGTGTCACGTCTTTCCTGACGGGGATCCAACATCCCTCACATTGATCTTCCATTTTCATTCCTGTCCAGCTCCTGCGGGGAAGTCACATGGGCTTCTCTCACTGTGCCCTGGCTCCAGCCACTGTGGAACTGGCTGCCTGTTTCTCTGGGCGCTTAAAAGGTCTTCAGATTGCCCATGACTCTCACTGCCCTTGGGAGAGCGTGCCTGTCCCAGCCAGCTGACATACTTTTTCATGGAGGAGGGACCATTCCTCTGCCCTCCGAAGAGTCCGCCTCTCTTTCAATGGATGCTCAAGCAAGTCCACTCCTGACCGACTCTTGGGGATCTTACAAAATTCCCCTCTCCTTTTAGCTCTCGCTGAAGTGGGACTCAGATTCGTTCATGCTCAGAATGGCAATGTTCTCTGAGGGCCAAATAAGAATTTCTTATCTGTATCTTCAGCAGAAATGAAGTTGCTGTGCTACATGAGTAAATGTAGGGAGTGTACAAGTCACAATAGTATGCCAAGTAGCATGCCAAAATACTCATAAAATCATACCAAAGAATTTTAAAATCAACTGCTTTGCTTATATAACTGAAATCTTTAAAATGATATGCCTTACCACTATATGAAAGAAAAAAAAATTGAGGTACTCTCCTGGCCCCTCAAAGTTAAATTGGTATTTGCCACATGGCCTGCACTTTAAATCCGAAACCTAATACCTACCCTCCATCTGAAGTGACAATCCCTTAATAAAAATGCACCTGGCAAGTGCTATTTACTTATGTAGATTTGGAGGGGGAAAAGGGCTCTTAGTCCTTTAAATAAATATGACTATTTTATGAAATAGAATGCAAAAAGTACATGCTTTTTTTAAAATATAAAATAAATATTATGTTGCAGAGATCACTTTAAGCCATTTCCCCTCTCATTTAT